TCTTTTGAACAGCTCTTTGGTACGAACAAAGGGAACCAAGTCGTACTTGGTGAGAGCCGTTCTTTTTATCGTTGGTTCACTGCCTGCATAAATCCACTCGCCTTCACAGGAACTTGCTTTCCTGAATGCACATTTTCCATAGAACGCATGCTGCTTGAGTAGTAGTTTGGCTGGCTGACGTATGTAGCAAGTTATACATTTTTCTATGAATAAAAGTAGATTTCTGGCAATACAGTCAATCATTATTGATTATTGATTGATATTAATTAATCAATTGATTATTTTGCAGATAAACCTATTAACCCCGCCCCCTTAAAACAAACCGGCTCTTTTGAACGGCTCTCTGAAAGGAACGGAGCCATAAGATCCGGCTCCCTTCAAAGAGCCGTAATTCCCCATCACTACTTCTTATATAAAAAGTTCAGAATCAAAATCTGGATTGGCAAATGTTCCCATACTTTAACTTGAAGAAACAAAGGCAACAACACTCACAACAACACGGGTTAATAACCACTTCAGCTAAAAGACGACACAGCACAGCAGTTTGGGAACATAAAATGTAATCTGATTAGTAAACTTACAGAATAGTTCTCTCCATCATTTTATGGCAGCATTGTGGGCTGTTGCATCCCTCAACTACAAAGCCTGTGTGAAATTATCAAGCATTGAACCAGCTGAAGTGCCTTTTGAGCAAATCTCTGAGTCAGTATCAGCTCCTGAGACGCCGCTGTACAGCAGAACATGACCCCCGGCCGGAGGAGGAGTGTCTTCCTGTGTGAATTAATAGTGTGTCATATATTTAATTGTTATTAATAAGACAAATGAAAACAAAAGAAAGTGTTTAATGGAGTGTTAGCAGGATAGTCATGTCATGTACTCTGCCTGAACTCATCTTTGAGCCAGGCTCTCTTCCTGTTAATACAGCTGTCTGAGTAATCTGTTAAAAAAAAGGCTTTGTAGAGATCACTGAATATGGATCCACCTGAGGGGGAGGGCATGCGATTGTGTCATCTCAACAGAACAATGGACAACAATTATCATCATCCAAAAAAATGCTAAAAGGCCATATTTTTTTATGAGTCTACACATGGGCGTTGATGTCCGACCCAAAAGGTTTAGTCCAACATCACTTAGTTGTAGCTGGGGTTTTACTTGACTCTGATTAAAGTATTGTTTTTCTACCAACAGATGAGCAAAATCCTAGCGTTTCTTTTGCATCCTGTGTGGTGTTTAATTATCCATATTGGATTACCATGTATTAGGTGTGGGATGAAGAGACCCCTGCTGGGCCAGGGTCTGTGTTTCTAAATGTGCATCAAACATGTGTTCAATCCTTACCAGTAAGTTATAGCTACGACTCAAATAATGGACAGTCTTGTTTAGTTTTGGGTCTTAATGAATGAGCTCTTTAAACTTTTCATTTGCAATATTTACAATATGACCTTTCACCTTTTCTTAAAGGTGACCTATCATGCAAAATGCACTTTTGTACGTCTTTTATACATGAATATGTGTCCCCGGTGTTCCAGGGAACTCACCAAGTGTCAGAAAACACAACCCTCTCTATTTTCCTCCTTAGCCAAATCTCTTAAAAAGGGGCTGCAACGGATCTGATACAGACTGATCCAGATTTGAACACTTCTGTGACGTCACAGAAGTGGCGCTACGGCTATTGGGCCAACTCCACCAATCAGGAGGAGACAGCCACGGGCTTTGCCGTTCGAAAGCGCTGGAGACGTTGTAGTACATATGCCACGCCTGTAGATGATGCTGTTCTCACAGAATCAGCCCATGCAAAGACAGTGTTAAATTGAGCGAAATGCGGAATGGCTAAAATGCATGATCTGTTTGGTATTTTGAAAAATAAAAAGTATAAATATCCCTTATATAGGTATGGTCCTACAATATATTATTAAAATATAGCATGATAGGTCCACTTTAAGGTATGTTATTACGTCAGTTTCCATCAACACATTTTACATGGCCATGTTTAATCCCTTACTGTTATACAGTGGAATCATATCTGGAAAGTGGCTGCAGTGCTTTTAATGGCTTTGTGTTAAGAGGTGGGCTTTCCCCTTTTGAAATGAGTTGTATAAAGAGAACACTGTTCAGTGTTTCCCCTACCATTGTCTTGGAGGGGCGCTGCGCCCCGCCAACGGAACCCCGCGCCCCCCCTGAAATTCAAGGTGTTTTAAAAATATATTAGGGCCGGGACTTTAACGCGTTAATTAAGATTAATTAATTACACAAAAATTAACGCGTTAAAAAAATTAACGCATTTTAATCGCACTTATTTTTGCACCGCGGAACGTTTCTCACTGGATGAGTTTCAGGGGTACCGATTATAATGGAGCACCAACTAACGTTCATTACTTCAGACAACAACAAACCACAGTGAACAATAGTCAAACGTGAACGAAGAAGCTGATGAGACCGCTTTGGTTGGCCCCGTGAATGGGACATTTTGTTTTAAAAAACGGACGGATGGAAGCGTCAATAAGAGCACGGTTGTTTGCAAATTATGCAAAAAGGAATTCGCATATCACCGCAGCANCAAATACCTGTACTTTCTACTTCTTACACTTTGAACACAAATACCTGTACTTTCTACTTCTTACATGTTGAACACAAATACCTGTACTTTCTACTTCTTACATGTTGAACACAAATACCTGTACTTTCTACTTCTTACATGTTGAACCCAAATACCTGTACTTTCTACTTCTTACATGTTGAACCCAAATACCTGTACTTTCTACTTCTTACATGTTGAACACAAATACCTGTACTTTCTACTTCTTACATGTTGAACTCAAACACCTGTACTTTCTACTTCTCTCATTTTCCAAACAGGCTGGTTCCTTTAGTCTGAATGTGTGTTTGGTGGCGTGATCATTATTATTTAGAGTCATTGCGTGCCTATTGATTTGAACACGATCCGTGTATCCATCATTTCCTGGTCTTCTCTAAAGAAGAGGGACCAATGGAAACGTTGTCATGTCGCCGTTGTTCAGCATGGAAACCTTCATTAGCTAACAATGACATTATTGTTCTATTAATATAAAGGGAGGTCAGGTACTCTTTAAAACAGCTGCTAGTTATGGGTACTTTTTACTGAAGTACATTTCAAAGCCTCTTTACTTTGACTTGAGTTAAGAAGTTTAGTCGGTACTTCTACTTTCACCAGAGTATTTTTAAACACGAGTATCTGTACTTCTACTTGACTAAAGGATGTGTGGACTTTCACCATCTCTGACCACGAGTCACTTCTGTTCCTGAAGAACAACATCCTAAAACCCCAAGTTTGAGGCTTTAAAACCAAATTCACAAACAGATGGGTGAATCACAGAGACGATCTTTATTCTAAACGCTAAAATTGTAAAACTCTGAATGTAAAAGACAGAGTTTCAACTTCTTAACATCAGGAGCATTTCCCCATGATTTCCTCTCTGTTTTCACTGATGTTGAATGATTTTGAACACTGAGCTCTTGCTTTCTAGTGTCTATAGTATGTCAGTAGAAAATACATTAAATATAAGAGTTATAGTGAAGTAGGCCATAAAGGGTCGTGATGCAGTGTGTGTATACATATATGGTTTTAACACAATGTTTAGAGCTTATTTGAATACATTTTCTATTAGATGTATTTATTCCATGAAAATATAAATTATTTTTGCAGTTTGAAGTGATATGCTCTGATTTTGAAGGGCTCTCTCCGGGCATGGGGTAAAAATGTATTCATCATTTGAAGCGCTAAAATTGTAAAACTCTGGATATAAAAGGCAGAGTTCCTCCTCTCTTCGTCCAACTTCTTAACATCAGGAGTATTTCCCCATGATCTGTTTCCTCTCCTGGATGATTTTGAACACTGAGCTCTTGCTTTCTAGCGTCTCTCCTCCAAAGAAACCCTCAAAGCTTCTCTTCATCTCCTCTCTGTCGAACACGTTGTTGCCCGAGGCGTGAGCTTTCCTCTCCGCGTGTTCCTGCAGGAAGACGAGGCGCCAGATCACAGAGTTTTATTTTATTTTGACGTTGCATTTCAGAAGCAGGGGCTTAACGTTCAGCTGACGGAAGGAGGGTCTCGATGTTAACCTCCGTCCTTTATCGAATAACAGACACAAACTTCTTCAGTGTTTCTGGAACGATTTATCCGAACACGCGTCCTCACATCAACGTCAACACGTCAGTCTTTCCGAAGCCTTGAAATTATCATTCACTCACAATAAAAAGAATAAAAGAGATCCGCATAACACTTTTCACATCTGTTTAATGTATGAACCAGTCATTCCACTTGGTGTCCACTCAATGATCAATCAATGATTGAAAGGTGACCTATCATACAAAATGCACTTTTGTACGTCTTGTATACATGAATATGTGTCCCCGGTGTTCCAGGGAACTCACCAAGTGTCAGAAAACCTTTCTACTTCTCTCATNAGCAACAGGGAGTATTAAAAGGAAAGAGAGACCAGAGGCTGTCAGTGAATCGACCGGTGATCTCCTGGCCGTCAAACAAAAAACTTTCTTCGAACTCTTCTTTTTTGTTTGACGGCCAGGAGATCACCGGTCGATTCACTGACAGCCTCTGGTCTCTCTTTCCTTTTAATACTCCCTGTTGCTAGCCAGCTATCCATTTTAATACTCTGCTCTACTCTAACTTAATTACAGTTTACACAATCAGCATCAATCAAGTGCAGAGCTGTCCCGCCGGTCCCGCAGCAAAGTAGTCCGGCCGATTACAACAAATGTTCCTATCTCTCTGCTCGTCACATATCTAATATTTTAAGGAAAAATGCAATGATGAAAAGAATAATTACATTTTTTATATCATTTTAAATATTCTGTATATTTTTATCAGATTTCCCCCCCACAAAAATCATACTATTTTGGAAAAGATTTGGCGGCCCACTTGCAATACCTTCGCGGCCCACCAGGGGGCCGCGGCCCACAGGTTGGGAACCACTGACCTAGACAAAACTTGAATAGGAAGTGGTAAAATGTCCTTCCTCCTTGTTCTGTCTCCCGTCTGGTCCTCACAGGTGGAAAAATCTCCCAACCGATCGGACCGCCTCGTCTACCCTCCTCTGCCCCTTAAGACTAGTACTGTTCTTAAAAGTAGCATGACCAATGGGGCTCCAGCACCACCCACCAATTCAAGAAGTATCACCAAACCTGTTTCTACCTGTCCCCCAACATCCGACACAACTTCCTCAATCCCCCGCTCTCCTATCCCTGTCCCTAAACCCAGTCTTTCCCCCTTAGCTAAGCCCACCTTCCTTTTTCCTCCAAAAACTGTCACTTTCTCTTCATGTAAACCATTGTCTTCAGTCACATTGCGCAGTCCCGCCCGCAACCCAGCACTTGCTCCACATTTGCAGCCCTTTGTTAATCTAGTCAATCCCAATGATGGTGGAGATAATCACAATTTTCCTACAACTACCGACATCCAAAACACTCGTTCCTTCGCCCCTACCTGGACTTGCCTGGCATCCACTAAAGCTCATCCATCAGCTTCTTCCCTCCATCCTGGCCCTGAGATGTTACCCCTTTTAAAGGTCACCTTCTCCCCTAACTCTGACCCTGTCCCTTGCCCTGCCTCGAAAGCTTCTGCTGATGTTGTGTCTGCTGAGGTGCGTCAGAGAATAAAGGAGCTTCTGTTAAAGTACAGTCAAGGTCTGTGGGCCCACGCTCTGCCCAAACTCTTGATGGACACATACAAGACGCCATTCCCCGAACAGGTTCTGAACAACTTGTCTCTTCTGCTGGATATATGTACTGTGGAGTACCCTGTTCCACATGACAAGAAGAAGGTAAGTACACAATGTCCTCAAGAGTAGTGCATAATTATTTATTCCTCAGTTAATGCTCTCTCACTACTGAGAAGTGAACCTTGAAGGCATGGAATAACTCATCACTAACCTGATTTATTGGTGTGGATAAAATGTGGATTGTTTCCAACAGAAATAATGATTTAATTTCTGCCATTACCTTGTATTATTAAGGGAGGTGTTAGACATCCTTCCTGCCACTGATATTCTTGAAAAACTGTATAAATTATTGTGTTTGTTGTTGATGTACTCTTCTGTTCTCAGGCCATCCTGTATTACTCTAGTAAAGCCGTCATAAAAGCCGTAGACAGCCAGGAAAGCCAGCAGGGTAGACGCCGTCTCCTTCCCTCTGGTCTGGAGGTCCTGGGGTCTGCGGTGCCTCAAGATCTGCTTCTTCCAGCGGAGCAGTACCCTTCTGTGCTCGTCACTGAGGCCAAAGGCAGCAATGTTGTTACGTTAAGGTGAGACGCACAAGTTGGCAATATCCTTTCCTGGAGCTAATAACAGTACACACAACAGAAGAGTCGTTCATCAGCCAATGGCAAGACCTTAAATAATAAATTAAAGCTTTGTGAAGTTTATTTTGAATGAAAAATATGAACTTACAGATCATGTAGGTGTCAGTAAACCATATGTTGTACCAACAATATAGGAGTATTGCTTGCTCAGTTGTATTTGATTGTGAACCGTTGCAAAACTCAGGCAAAGACACTAGCATGTCTGCTAGTGTTTAATGTTTAAACTACTGCCAATCTAAGCTCAATCCTAAAAATACCTGTGACTGCATTTGTTCTGGGAATGCTGATTGTAACCTTTCCAAAAGAAAGCCAGATGTTAGTGCCCTTTTTTTATTCAGTGGGTGAAGGGATTTACAAACTAAATGTAAACTACATGTTTGCTTTTGTTAATGCAACATCCAGCAAACTGTTTTTGATTACTACATTTCACAGATTAAAAACCTTTTTCTATTTGTTTAGGTATGTAGGTGAGAACTATTCCAATGCCCAGGAGGCCATGGAGGAAGCAATGCGCATGTTCTACAGCCAAGGCTCCACCCACCATCCTCTGTCTAGACCTGTGACTGGTCAGCTGGCAGCTGTCAGAGGGGAGGATGGAGAGGACTTGGCAAGAGCTCAAGTCATTGAGATTCTGACCCTTAACAAGGTCAAGGTAAGTCATTTAGTTATAGTTGTGTATGTGTGCAGTAGGGGTGTAACGGTATACGTATTCATACCGAAATTATTCGGTACGGACACGTGTACCGAACAAATATAACGTTAAACTTGAACAAAAAATTGAGAACGTGAACAACTTTTTGAAAGTAATCTCAGGTGCTGCGTTGCAGCATTCAGAGTAATTTGCTCACATTGGGTTCAACGAGTCATAGAGCGACCAAGTAATTTCATTGGACGAGAGGCATACTATGAGAGCTGGTCACAGGGATGCGTTCAAATTTAGTCAGTAATTTGAGGAAATGGCGAACGCAGATAAAGTTGAGCTCAAATCCTCCAGCATCATTGAACTCTCCGGTTTGGGAACATTTTGGTTTCGCAGTTACGTACAAGGATGACGGACAAAGACAGGTGGACCGAACCTAAGCTGTTTGTCGGCATTGTTCAACTAAAATTGGTTACGCGGCTGGCAATACATCAAACTTGCACACTCATTTGAAAAGGCATCACCCGAACGTGAATATCACCGGTACCAAAAGAAAAAAGACTGAAGTGTAAACCCAACTCCCGCGGCGCTAGCATTTAAGCCTCCAACACTTGCAAAAAGTTCAGACCGAGCCAAAGCTATTACAAACGCCAAATATCCTTATGTTGCCATGTTAGCAAAGCGCTACCTGGCTGTATCTGCTACCTCTGCCCCTAGCGAGAGGGTGTTCTCCACAGCAGGAGACATTGTTAGTGCCAGCAGATCTGCCCTTTCGGTAAGCAATGTGGACAAGTTAATTTTTCTTTAAAAAAACATAAATACAATGACAAGCCTAATGTCAAGCTGGCTGTTTAGGCGAGTACTATTACAGTACAGTTCAAGTAGAGATTATTTCAGTTCATCGAAATGCTGCACCTTACNACACCATTGTTTGGTTTCCATGGTAGCGCGTCTCTTTAGCAGCGCGCGCAACTCAAAGTCTGAGAACAAGAATCGACAACTCGACCCTCTGTCGAAATAAAATACAGGTCCAACACACATATGCTCCATGGTGCCACAGGCATTGCCCTTACAACTACAATAAGCATGTAAATGTTAATCTACAGCTCCGGCGATCCACTAGCACCGGAGTCTACACCTGAGGACGCAGCCATCCTCGACAACTACTCTGTAGCGTCACCTTGGATACGAGTCTAAACAACTCACGGACACACAGGCCAGGGCGCTGACAGGGCGCCCTTTGAGCATCAGATCTGACGACTGATTGGCTGAAATTATGTTTCGGTGGCATAGTTTACAGATAGCAACAGTCAGCTTGTTGGCTGCTGCTGCTCTGGCTGAGGGCTCCTTTCTACCGCCCGGACGAGAGAGGGTAATGATACACGCTGCGGCCAGGCAGGAAACATGTGACTTATCAGTAACTTTAGACATCGTAAAACAATTTTAAACGAGATGTTATTGTAGATTATACATTTTACTGATACCAACTATATAATATTTACCTTGTTCTTTAAAAATAAAAATACTTTTTTTTTTTTTTGGAAATATATTTTTTTATTCATTTTTAATTTTGAATGACAATCTAACATGTGGGAAGAGTGGGGGGGGGCGCCACTGTTTGTATTATCTTACATGTATTTTATAATATGTTTTTGTTTTCCTTTTCTCTTAAAATGTTGAGTACATTTTCCTGTTTTTTCTCAAATACCTTTACTTTTTTTGTTCATTTTTTATTATGTTACGTGTTTTTCTGTAATGATTCATTTTACTCTTACTTTATGTACGTTTTTTTATCATTCTTGAAATAAGTTCACTTAAGTACCATTACCAATGCAGTACTTTAACTAACAGAGTATTTTTACAGTGTAGTATTTGTACCTTTATTATCTTAAATTAATCTTTACAATACTTTTTTGTTTTTATTTTCCTTTTCGCTTAAAACTTTGATTACATTTTCCTGCTTTTTCTTAAATACCTATAATTTTGTCGTGGCCGGTTCTTGTATGATATTTAAAACTGTGCCACATTAACAGGGATCTGCTTCTTGACTCGCACGTTAAAAACAGTCCAAATAAAACTCTGTAGGCGCTGATTTCTGTGCCGTCCTCTGGCAGATTGATTGACTTCTTCCAAAAAAATAAACAAAATGATCAGTGTAACGTGAGGTCAGAGACCGATTCCCCGTTCCGTGCTGGAGACAATTCCCGCTGAGGCTCAGTCCCACCCCTTCCTTATATAACAGCTAATCCAATAAATCAAAGCTATTATCCGAATATTTAATTAAATTAATAAATGGAAAGAATATATTGAAATCTAAATTAATAAGAAAATAATACATTAATTATCAACAAAAAAAAATGTCTCTAACAAGTTGTTTTTGTTCATTTTGTATTAAGTGTGTTTATGTAATGGTTAAGTTTGCTCTTACTTATGTTTTCCTGTTCGACCTTTAAATTATTACCATTCTTAATGCAGTAATTACACTTCCAGTACAGTCATTTTACAGTGTAGTATTTGTACTTTTACTTACAGTAATTCTTCTTCCTCCAGTGGTTTCTCTAATGTTTGTGGAGATTTGAGTTTAAGATCAGTATGAGGTGTACTGATTGTATATAGCATATAAACCCAACACCTTTTGAACAGGTTGCTTTAGTATTGGACAGACATTTTAAGTGTTTGTTCTTTTAATTAAATCCACCCGTGTTGAAATGTTGTGGATGCTTTGAGTCTGCTTAGGCTGGGTTTAAAGAGCAGGAAACTTCCCAGAGTTTGTCACAGAGGCCGTTTATTAACTGACATGAGAGACAAACAGGATGTGATGACGGACAGTAAACTGGGACAGCAGCTGGAAACAGAACGGAGACAAATAACACACAAAACCCACTGATTTCCCAACGCTTGGCAGAGCACATGTGCTACTGATGGTTCGGAGGGAAACGAACCATTGAGTCTTTATAATAAAGAATAAAGCAACAAATAGTGTTCGTCAAATAAGTGCTTTAATAAACAGTCCTCAGTCAATCTATAGCAAACTCTTCTGGATGTTTATAGAAAACATCATTATTTTGATTCTTTTATTTAAAAAGATGCAGTGTCCCAGAATCCACAAGATCAGCCAAATTCTCATCTAAATGTGTCTGAGGTTTTGTGTTAAAGTATCATCAGGCACTAGGCGATTTTACTCAAAATGAACGTGGACACTGAGAGGGAAGTGGGGCGAATATTCCCAGCTTCAAACGGAGATAATAATAATGATTCAGGTCTTTAACGTCAGCCAGCAGATGTCCATACATTCACACAAACAACCACAACATGTGTGTTAGGATTTCTCTTTTCCACTTTTCTTTCCCTTTTCTTTTGACTACTTTTTGTATTTTCTTATTATGAAATGAACTCAATGTTCAGGTGACTTACGGTACGTCCACCCGGTTCCGTTGCGTGCTTCAACGGAGACGCACTTTGAACGGGGTGACGTCACGCTTTGCCGAACTGCGTTGTGGTTCCGTCGCTTTGCCTCCGTTGCTCGCTTCGAAAGTTGAGAAAAGTTCACGACGGAAACGCCGGCCAATCAAATCGTATGCCAGTACAAGTGCTAGCCAATCAAACCGCGTGCTTGTGTGTCCGGGGCGGGAGATTTATGTGATTGGTTGTTGGTCGCACGCCAGACACGCCCACCGGCAAGCTTCAAGGCGACGGAACCGTGTGGACGTACCGTTAAAGTGTAAATCACCTCTCACAGAAATTATTGATTGTTATTAACATTTTGTATTTTTATATTTATTATTAAATTAACAAAAAAATCCTCAATATCTTTTTTTGTTACGTTTTCATTCATTTCCCACAGGACAACGTGGATTCATCTTCTTATTACAGACACAAGCATTTCCAAACATTCAGTCTACCTATGTTGTAAATGTATTATCTCTTCGATGTACACACGGCATCTATTGCACGTCTGTCCGTCCTGGGAGAGGGATCCCTCCTCTGTTGCTCTCCCTGAGGTTTCTCCCATGTTCCCCTTTAAACTGTGGGTTTTCTCTGGAAGTGTTTCCTTGTCCGATGTGAGGGTCTAAGGACAGAGGGTCTAAGGACAGAGGGTCTAAGGACAGAGGGTGTCGTATTGTCATACTGATATTCTGTACAAACTGTGAAGTCCACTGAGACAAATGTAACATGTGTGATATTGGGCTATATAAATAAACATTGATTGATTGATTGATTGATTGATTGATTGATTGACTGATTGATTGATTGACAATGTACTAAATCAACAGCATTTCAAAATAACAACAACTATTCAAACACACTTTTTGACAGGAAGTCTATCCAACTGCATTAAATGCTCAAAAATCCACAATCAGGAGAGGAGACTTTTTGAAGTAATGCCGTCTTGATGCTCTCTTTTTATTCTCTGCAGCCTCAGAGAGAAATCAGGCGACCACATGTTGGCCTTTCTCATGCCAGTGTGTCCAGACCTGAATTAAAGAGAATACAATGTGTGAGTATTGCGTCACATCTGTGTGTCTAAGAACAACACACACTCCTGTTTAGTTAAAGCAGATCTCATAAATCACAGACGGCACTTTTTGTTTGGCAGTCTGTGGCTCCGATCCCAAGATGGTTATCCCACACGATTCCTGTTTCTGTCTTTATTTATTCAAAGAAGTTGACTGGAGAAATATGTGTAACATGCTTTATTCTTCAGGAACACCACGCTCCACTTTCAGACTAACATCTGGAAGCTGTACGGCACGTCTTTGAAGACTTTGTCTTTGAATATTAAAGGTCAATACACAACGAATTCTCTTCTGTTTTCACAATTTTATCCATATTTGGTCTGGAAATAACAAAGCATGTCACTGAACGGATTATTGAGATATATGAAGGGCTTTAATATTCCTTAACCTGACTCAATCTTCTGGGTTTCACTTACGATAGCAGCAGCTGGAAGACTTTTTGGGGTCAACATGCTCCAATTTGAAATGAAAGGGACTGTTCTGCCCATTTTGAGGTTCATATCATTATTTAGTGCCTTTACTGTGACATGTTTCCATGCTGTAATGTTCAGAGAGATCTGTATTTTTCTCATACTGCCTCTGGAGGGATCACAGGGATGTTAGCCTTTGCAGACCGTTTACATGCACTAAAACATGTAAGGCAAGCCAAGGCAAGTTGATTTATATAGCACAAGGCCGTTCAAAGTGCTTCACAAAAATGTAAGAGCATTAAGAAATAGTGTAGAGGAAACACGTTATAAAATGACATTTAAAAACAGTCCTTAGCCGCTTTCACACCAAGTACTTTTCCGTACTTAGTGCTCCGGCACTTAGTGCTCCGGCACTTACAACCCCAGGGCACTAAGTACCAATCGCGTTCACACCGGAGTACTTTTCCCTGAGGGAAGATTACGCAAATGAGCCGCTGACTTCACTTCGTCTTCTTCTGCTTTGGGTTTACTGGCAGGCCACAAACCACTTCACGGCGTATACTGCCACCCGAAAGTCCTCGGCCGGAAGTCCCCGGAGTTGGGGGCCTGGCTTCAGTAGAAGCTGCTGGGGGCTCCCAGCAGTTTCTACTGGGAGCCTTCTGAGTAATCGCCCAGAACGCTGACACCTCCTCATCTCCACGCTTCACATGTCTTGTGTTCCATAAGTTGTCTCTCTGTCGTTGGTGCGGCTGGCTGGCCATAAGGTTACGTTCCTCTGCTTTTGGTGCTCCAGGCTAATGCTAATGGTAATAATGCTAATGCCAGCAAATACAATGGCGGCTTCAAAAACCTTTTCAGGAGTTTTACCGGGCGTGGTCTTGCAATTCGCCCCAGCCAATAGAAATTGGTTCTTTTTGCTTACCTTTCTTCCCCCAGGAGAGTTACCACCTCTCTAGCAGGCACTAAAAATAGGAAATAGGTTCAAAGTTCTCCCGGGCACTAAGTCTCTTTTTGGCTGTGAACGCGACTAAGGGGTACTAACGGAACTAAACGGGAAAGTACTGGGGAAAAGTTACTCCGGGTGTGAACGCGCCTATTGATGAGGCAAAGATTATTAAAACTATTATAAAATACAAAATATTCCTTGGCTGCTTTCAGGAGTTTTGAAGCGATCATCTCCTTAAACTGACAATTTCAAACACATTGACTGACCGTCTGTCCGATTCATGTTTGAGGGTCTTTACTGAATAATCCGTCTCATTCAGACGGTCTGTTTGACTGACAGCTCACTGAAGGCTTTCTGTTTCCTCTTCTCTCACTTCTTATTCTTCAGACTCATTGTAAACCTTGGACTGAGGTTTAATAACTGCTCCAAGGCGGTTGTTGTGTTTTTTGTTTGCAGACAGAAGATTAACTGAGGAAGGGGTCAGGGAGCAGATGATTAATGGTGACGTGCAGGAATATGGGAAGTAAAGAGCCCAACACCGATCACCCATTACCGCGTTAATTACACTTTACAATGTGATTATGATTGGCAGGCTCTAGATACTGTAGCCCCTGATATTAATGGATTCAAGCAGTTTCACATATGACTACTTCTTGGCTTTATTCGTTTTGGGAAGATTGTTTGCCTGGAAATACTTAGCATGTCCACAAAATGATGATGAGGATGAATGTCGGCCTTTCATTTGTGCTGAAATATATATAAACGCAAGAATAAATCATTCCTTTCACGTCTTCCATGGAAGTTTTCAAAGTATTTATAGCTTTAATCAAACCAGGGCATTTACAAAACGTATTCTAACTTAACATTCGTTCTGCTTTAAAGGTTTTGACTGTTCTTCAGCAAGATCACATGATCAGAAAGAGCGGACACAATGTCTGATTTAGATGAGACATGAAGAAGCAGGAGACACATGTTGATGTAGAAGTGATTGAAGAATGGACTGACTTGTGACTGTTAGTTTAGATACATGAAGAAGACCGTCCCCATGTCCGATGTAGAGGAGACATGTCAAAGAACTGACACATGTTGATGTAGAAGAGACCATGGTGATGAGGGACACATGTTGATGTAGAAGAGAACATGGAGAATGAGGAGACCACATGTTGTATGTAGAAGAGACATGAAGAAGAGGGACACATTTGTTAGAGAACATGAAGAAGAGGGGACACATGTTGATGTAGAAGAGGACATGGAGAAGAGGAGACACATGTTTGATGTAGAAGAGACATGAAGAATGAGGGGGCACATGTTGATGTAGAAGAGACATGAAGAAGAGGGCGACACATGTTCGATGGTAGACAAGACCAGTAGAACGAAAAGAGGACACATGTTGAGCTAGAGAGACATGAAGAAGAGGGGACAATGTTGAGTAGAAGAGACATGGAGAAGAGGGGACCCATGTGATGTAGAAGAGACATGGAAGAATGAGGGGACACATGTTTGATGTAGATGAAGAAGAGAGGGATACTGTGCTTGACTGTAGAAGAGAATGAAGAAGCAGGGGACACGTGTTGAATGTAGGAAGGACATGAAGAAGAGGGACACATGTTGATTGTAGAAGAGACATGAAGAAGAGGGGACACATGTTGATGTGAAGAGACCATGAAGAGAGATGGACACAGTTGCATGTAGATGAATTAAGAGATATGTGTTGATGTAGAAGAGACATGAAGAAGAGGAGGCACGTGTTGATGTAGAACGAGACATGAAGAAAGGAGGGACACATGTTGATGAAGAAAGACATGGAGAAGAGGACACATGTTGATGTAGAAGGAGACATGAAGAAGAGGGGACACATGTTGGGGGATGTAGAAGAAGACATGAAGAAGAGGGGACACATGTTGATGTAGAAGAGACATGAAGAAGAGGGGACCA